GAAGGAAATCTATGTGAAATTCCGGGTTTGTATTTTGTGTTTCATGAAACGTTCTGCTTGTTCAAATTCAGTGTTCAGTAAATCAGCTAAAATCTCATGGCTGCATGTTGTCGGCACAAACATCTAATTGCAAGCTTCATAACCAGTGGCGCTGTAGGATGCATAGTGGTTAAGCTGAGTTCTTTGGTCAGATTCAAACCATTTTATTAAACTGGTTAATTAGCAATTTGAAAGGGAAAAATCAAGGTCTTAAGGTCTCCCCGGGTCACTGCCAAACCACAGCCTATTAACTACTCCTGCCTTTCAGCAGCAATAATGATGAGGTTTTGAGAACATATGGAACCAACTAGGCAAAAGGCTTTTATGAGGAACTTTAACAGGGGGCATGATTTTGCAAACAGAAATTCTAGCAGATGATTTCATGGTTTTGCTTCCTTAACTGTCCCTTTAAAGAAACTAAACTCTTTCCTCATTGTAGGATGTCAGATTCAGACAGGCTTTCTCATAGACACTGGGGGAGTCTTTTTAAGTGGCTCCCCCTGGACCTGTTTTGCTGAGTTTGTTTCCTTGACACTGACCTCATCGAGGTGGCTTTCACAGCTTGTCAACCTCCTGTCATAGCATACAGCAAGCTAAGGATGGTGAGGGAGAAAGCGGCAAACTAGCTGCACTCAGGACGGTAATGAAATGATTGAATTTACACAAACACATAACTGCCGCCTATTTGATATTTGGTTGACCCAAGGACAGATTTAGGATATTTGTTTTCTGTCTTCATGACTAGATGGAGCTTGTCATGCTTCTTTTATACTCACCCCTGCCCCGTATACCTTAAAAACTTCTGCTTTTGTCCAGAGCTCCTTCTTACCAAGGAATAATAAAAACATTCTCAGATTGTACTCCGGTAACTCACTTTATAAGGAAAGGTGCCAGCTCAGAAAGTGAGACATCAGGGTGAGAACTGAGAAGGTGCCAGTTACTGTCCATGTGTTTCACCTAAGTAGCAACAGCAGCACGCTTAGGCTTCTGGCAAGGAAAGATCTTCCTACTGCTCTGCCTTGAGATTTTTAGTAAGTATATCTCCATCATTATCCACACCATCAAAATTGTCAGCTCAAACCCATGAAGTGTTTTTGCTAAAGGCTACAGTAATGCTTTCTTGCTAGGAAAGTATAAGGAGAATGAGATATTTGTCTCTGTTTCTGACACCCATACTTTTAATTGAAGTAACTGGATGTTATTTTTAACTTCCAATACATCCTTTCCTTTCCGAATTCCAAATTTTTGTTTTCCTAGATGTCTCCCCTACTTGAAATTTCTCAGTTTCATGTGCATATATGCAAGCTTTCTAACAAGAAAATGGGTAAATGCTGAAGAACAGTGTATTTTTAGTAAAGTGTAATGAATGTTGGCTAGAAACATAAAAGCAAACAGGCATGCAGCAAAAACTCTAGCTATAGTCAAAGTCAGCTCAAGAAAATACAGCTTGAATTTGCTACTGCTGGAAGGTCAGTGAAGCTAAATACATTATTCCATACTAGCCTCTCTGCAAATTGTCCTACTAAGAAGTCCAAAACTTTTCCCACATGTCTAAGCCTAGGCTTCAACATCTTCCATGACCCATAAAATGTGAGATTAGCATCTCTCTAATTTAAACAGTCTGCAAAAAGCATTGGTTTAAAGGATTTCTTACCTTTTGAGGTTTGTAGGTTGGGGAGGAAATAGTTCATCCAAGGATTTCCTGTGGATTCTCAATATTGGAGTAATAAAAATAAAAGCTCAGAAAAAGTTTGATTGGGAAAAGAGAGTTCTAAAAAGGCTTACATTTTAGAGCAGCAACTTTCCTGACATTGTAACCTACTATTTAAGGCTATGTACTAAAATTGGCTTTCCCAAGTTGGTGCCTTCTGGATGTTTTGGAACTCATCTCCCTTCAGCCCTAGCCAACATGGCCAATGGTCAGGAATTCTGGGATTTGAAGTCCAAAACATCTGGAGGGCATCATCTTGGAAAGGTCTGTTCTAGAAGGAGTGTGCATATGTGTTTGTGAATCACTTGACTCACATGCACATGCTTAGTTACAGAAGCCTCCTGTCAAGTGTGTGAGAAAGGGCTTTCTCCAGTTTTGCTCCGAAATTCTGGGGGACACACCCTCCAGAATTGTGGCCGTTCTCCACTCCTCCTGTGTTCAGGCAAGATGTTCAGACACATCTTTTTTTTTTTCTGGGCATCTTAAATTGTTGTTCTGGTTTTTAGGATCATTTTAAACATGTCAAATTTAAGATTTGGGTTTTCAGAATTTTTGTAGAATGCCTTATTTGGTTCCAGAAAGGTGGTGTAAATGTGTTTGTAATGAAATAAATCAAGGGACTACTCCAAGTAGTATGGGATACATGGTGGCTGACCTACTAGGATGCGAAAAGCCTCTTCATGGTCCTCAGCTTGTGGCAACCTACCCATGTGTCCCTACTGTTGGGCCTGTGATAAGCCTTTGGTCTTCCAGGAATTCAGAAAGCACCAGAAACCCTCTCCCTTTGCAATCAGCTTTTTATTTCTGTTTGAAGATACTTTATTTCTGTTTGTGGTTCAACATAAATTGGACAAACATCTACCAATTAATACATTGTATTGAAAGTACTGCTTAGAAAAGCAGTATTGCTTACTGCTTTTTGAAAAGATGGCAGAGTTGTGTGTCATAATCCTTTCAAATTATCATACACCTTTAGAAATGTACCTCAAATTAAATACAAATTAAAAGGGTTGGTCTGGTTTCTTGGGAATTATCTTGAGTGTTGGTTAAAGTTGGATATTCAGAGAAAGGATGTCTCTTGTCAATGCAGTCCCCACACATATGAGTGGGAAATGTTGTGTGGTGCTGTGCACTGTGGCTGAAGTTGAGAGAGACTGGAAAACTCTATCACAATAGCATGGAAAGGGAAGGGAAGGGAAGGAGACTGTGGCTTCATGAAACTGTTCCCAGTCTTTCACTGTAAAGAGCTGCATACCTTTTAAGCACAGAGAGATCCATTAATCCTCATACCTTCACCATATCTGCTTTCAACAGTGAATTGCACACAACACAATTTACTTAGAAAATACATTTGTCATTATATCATATGATAATGATTGGGGTCAACATGAAATTAAATCCAAACAGTAAGGAAAACAGTAAGGTCTGACAAAGAATCTAAACTAATAGCTTTCCTGAAGCCAAATAACTGTTCTCATAACTAGAAGCAAAACCTCAGAAAACTGTTGTAGCTCCAAACCACTCCTTAGGGAACCGAATAAACTTTTGCTCCTAAGTGGAGTAGCTTTTAACCTGCTCAGCTATACAGCAGAGACATAGTGTGCTGTATCAGTCAGAGTTTCTGACTGGATCCTGGGAGAACTAGGTTCTAGCCTCGAGCCAACCATCAAGCCCTGTGGGAGACTTCAGGCCAGTCACTGATGCTTAGCCAAGTCTACCAAACAGGGTTGTTAAATGATATGGAAGTGGGGAAGGACCATGTAAGCTGCTTTGGTTTACTTGCAAGAGGAAAAATGTGGGATATAATGCAATAATAATAGTAATTATTATTATGATGATGTTGATATGTGCTGCCAAATTGTTTTTAACTTAATGGTGACCCTATGAATGAATTTCTCCAAAATCTCCTGAACTTGATAGCACTGCTCAGCTCTTGAAAATTCAAGGCTATGACTTCTTTTATGGAATGGATCCATTTGAGATGTCCCCTTCATCTGCATCTGTCTTCCCCTAGCATGTTTGACTTCTCCAATGACTCTTGCATCCTCATGTTGTCCTCAAAGTACTTTAGCCTCAGTTTTTTGTTTCCAGGAAAAGTTCTGGCTTGATTTGATCTGGGACCCTTGGGTGACCCTTCTAGGAGACCAGCCTGGTGAGACAGTCTGGCCTCCTGGAGCCATTGTTCTCAGCTTCCACAACATTGTCAAACCCCCTCCCCACTTTAAGCTGTGCATCCAGGAGGGGGAGAAAAGTAATAATGAGAGTAATAGAATCAGCAATAGCTAAGTGGAAGCTTTCATGGCACCAAGAGAGTGGTTCAGCTGCCTGTTGCAAGGAGCAAACGCGTTTCTGCTTGATGCTCCTTGCAACAGAAGAATAAAGTCTCAGAACTAAGAAAAGTCTCGACTCCACAGGCAGTGGAGGCTGATGTTCCCAATGTCATTGGAAAGATGCATCCACTTGCCATTTCAGTCTGAACTTCTAAAGAGCTATACATGTTGCTGAGCCCTAACTAGCTCCTTCAGTTCAGAGTGACACCCAAAGTGGATAGACTGGTCCGCTGGCATTGGAACCACAAGCCAGTGTTACCAACGAGAAGCCATCTGCTAAACCGGATCAATGGCAGAGCTGGTAGTTCGAAAACAAATTTTATTCTAAAATTTGGTTGCAGAAACTGAGATCCATGCACCAAATCCAGCCTTTCAGCAGTCTGGGTCTCCTTCCCCTTTTCCCCAGATACTGACCATTTTGTATTTTTCTGGCATGCCAAAAGGCTGAAAGCTTCCTTCCTGAAGCTTAGTTGCTGGCCGTAAGTTTTAAGCTAAAAGAGTGCAGTGCTTCTGCTAACTTGCACTATACCTTTTTGCTTTTGGTTTTGCCCATTTGCTTTTGGCACTCCCTGTCACTGAAATTTGGCAGTTGCTTTTCTGAAGTGGAAGCAAGCAATCTGGCCCCTGGGCTGGAAATTTCTGTGCCCTGTTCTAAAAGATCAGGCTTTGAGCTGGGAGTTGGACGACATCGATTTCTTTGAGTGAGAAGAAAGTAAGAAAGTATGGCTATGAGAACATAGCTAGTCACACTCTTAACTAGTACAAAGAAATCCTTAGGGAATGGATGAAGCTTTCCTCTTCTGAATGTTTTGGGACCCACTTTGCAGAGTCCCTGTGCTTCATCTGGACACACATAGACTTATTCCTGACTTAACTATTCTTCCCTAAATAACCTGCATTTATTTCCAACTTGTACGCAGGTGCTGTTTGCGCTGAACCAAACTCTGCTACAACATGAAAGTCTTCGAGCTGGCAGTTTACAGGCTCCTTATACCACCGAAGACCTGATCAAGCACTACAACTGTGGAGATCTCAACGCTGTCATCTTCAATCATGACACTTCACAGGTACATCATCCTCGCATCATCTGCAGCTACAGGGAAGATGCAGATAGGTGTAACTTCAACACTGAGGGCCATTGCCAAAAAATTTGGCGGCTTACTTAAAGCGTAGTCCTTCGGTTCCCAAGGTCCCTTTGCTTCAGTAGGTAGGTGGGGAACTGAAGGAGGGGAACTGAAACTGAAGCTTCAACTTCAACCTCTGCAGCCCTCATGAAAGTGAGTCATCCAGAGGTGCTGTGGCACAGTTGGGCAGCATTCAAATGTTTTAAATAAATGAATGAATAAATAAATAAATAAATAAATAAATAAATAGGTATGACTTCCCTAACCACTCCTCCAAACCCCCTCGAAAGGTCCTGCTAGGCTTGCTTCATTCTTCAATCCCCTGTTAGAACACCTCTGAATTATGATGGGAAACATGAGGGGGCATTTATGAGATCCACAACTTGTTCCCACTTACCCCGATGTTTGCTAGCTCATGTTCCTGTGTCCTTCTAAATCAGCCCAGAACCCAGAACCAATTTAATACCCCAGAGAACTCACAGCAACTTTCATAATGTCTTTGGGCCCAGCTATATCATAGTATGGGATTCCCTTTGCTGGACTGACCAGCCTATATAACCAGCTGTATGATTCATGATGAATACAGAAAGCAAACAAAAAAAATGCATTTTTGGACATCACTAGCTAAGTAAATACTGGAAGTGGTATATTTGCTTACTTTTGCACAGGACATAATTTCTGCACCGCATTACTATAAAATAAGTCCATAGCTATGTTAGCCCTGTCCTTCATTATTCACTTGCTGTTTCTTCTATAGCTATATTTTCAGAAAAATTCATCACTCCCATTTCACAGGGTTGCCACGTGTCTTACTTTGCAGAGGGCAGTTCTGTATGTGAAGGGATGTCTAAGTCCAATTCAGAGTAATGATCCATAAGGAAGATGTGCAGAGAGGGCCTTGGCTTGTCCGTCTGCAGTTAAAATTGCCACCTCTGCAGCAAACCGAGATGGCAAGCAGGTCACCTGCTTACTATCCTCCCAAATATGATTGTATGTATTGCATTTCTATTTAAAGGATAGCTGTTATTTCTAACCTTGCATCTCTACATTTAAATAAGCATAGCCACATCCCATGCAAATCAATCTCATCTTTAACCCTATTTAATGTATTTCCTCTGTTTCTATGATTTATTTATTTATTTATTAAAACATTTCTATGCCGCCCCTTGCCAAGGCCTCGGGGATGCTTACAACATCAAATACAAAATACATTAAATGTATTGATGCACAGGTGCCTACCTTAAAGGAGGCTGATAGAAATAAAAGGCCCAGCCTAACTGTTGGTTCGTGTTGTTTTTTTCTTCCCAATGAGGATTCTTTGCTGGAAGCATACATAGAAGGAGCAAAGTGATTTACAAAGATGTAGGAATATGTAGGAATCAGGATACAGGGACTAGAAATCTGTCCAGCAACCACCTATGAAATGAGTGTTAATAATATGAATGTGTAACAGAAGCTACAGTTTTCTAGATATAGGGGAAAATGAACATTTTGTTGGTTGGCTATTCTTTGCCATGCATACTTTGACCAACTGTGGCTGTTTCTGAAAACATGGGGAGAGAATATGGACTTTCTCTATATTGGCACTGTGGGAGCTGAGCTCAATCCCAGCTGGGGGTACTTACAAAAGTAAAGTACTTGCCACACAAAAATACTAACAGGAAGTTTTATTAGCCTGAATGCAAGAGATTAATACAGTTATGCAGTAGTAACAAAGAACAATTGCAGCTGAAACTGCTTTATACATTTTTAGCACACCTTCTTTATCCTGATTGGTTTATAGTAATTGCTGGTATGGCTCACTTCTACTGCAAAACGTGTGGTTTCTGGGTTGGAACACGAAGAATTTCTACTTGGAACAAACACAGCTTGTTTATAGTTGCATATTTACATTTACAGTAGATTGTCTGTCATGCTTATCATGGAGCAGTCTTTGTAACTCCCTTCTTATCTACTGGGGCACAGTGACCATGTCCATTCCTTAACTTCCTTTCAGTTCAGACTTAAAATCGGCTTGTGAACACTTTCTTCAACACTGGGTACAAGTGTTTGAGAATACGGCCACTGAAATATACTTGAATCTAATTCAAGTTGGGCCCCAAATAATTGTTTCCTAATCTGGTCTACTTCTCAATTTAATGCCACATCATGCTGCTGATTGGAAAGTTCAAAGCATGGTGATTTTGTCCAATTCCTACCTTTCCCATACCTAGAAACATCAAGGCTGTCTCCTTCCAGTAACTAAGGATCCCAAGGCTCCTTGAAAATATAGCAGCCTTCCCCAACCAGCATTCCAGGCACGTTTGAACTGCAACACCCAGAATTCCCAGTTAATGGCCCTGCTAGATAGCATTTCTGAGAGCTGAGGTTCAAATGCCTCTGAAAGTCTCCAGGTTGAGGAAGGCATCAGCAGACATGGAAACTATATCACCGTCAGCCCTGGATAATCTACAAGAGGCCCAACAGAAGCATTGTTAAGGAATGTGTATCCACCCCTTCAGCTACCACTCCTGGGATGGATCACAAATATCTTAAAGCAGGACTTTCCAATATGGCACATTGCCAAGCTGTATTTCCCCTTTGCAAATAAATGCAGCAATGCATCTGTTCATTAGAAGTTGTGTGTGTGTGTATTGGGGGTACTCTCTGGCCAACCCCCCCTCCTCCCCAGCTGGACAGGGTGTGATGTGTCACCCACCAAGGGCTCTCGGAGCAGTAGGCTTCTCTGACAGCCAATTCCTTTCAAGGGTCCGTACTAGCCTATTTTGGCAGGGAGCGTCTTTCCCTCTTCCTGTTCAAGGCAATGTGCTGACCTGTCCATTAACTCAAATAAGGAAGAGAAGGGAGAGAAGTCAGACTGAGTGCCATACACACAGAGAAAGCACAATAATGTGCACGTGCGCACATGTGCGAGCACACACACTCAGTGCTCCCATCATTTCTGTGATTGCTGCCCTGCTCTCCTACAGCATTCAATTCGTGGCACTGCCAAGGGCACACTTTCAAAACGCTGCATGTGTCCTTGAGCTCCCAAACATTGGAGACACCTGCTAGAAAGGAATCAAATGAATGGAATAGACACAATATGGCTATTATGATTATTATTTTCATGCCTATGCCACCCAATAGCCAAAATTCTCTGGGTGATTCACAGCAATTCATAAACACAACTAGATGATCTTTGCTATTCCACTCTTTCTCAGCCTTCTAAACAACAACCTGGGAGTGATAGTTCTCACATAGCAAGGTTGTTGCAGAAATTGCTGAACTGCTGTATGCAGGGGACTTAGATTTACAGAGCCATTTAAAACTAGTCTTCTATCCTTTTCACCTGTAATGCATATAGTATGGCAGACTAATTCGATCTCATTTTAATTTGCTCTCCATAAAAAAATTCCCTTCCCAGCAGGATCCTGTGATGAGAATCAATGTCCTTGTCCCTCTTGCCTTTAATTGCACTAGTGTATTTGGATCTTTAGAACTATTCTATTAGGTTCACAGCAAAGGTGTAAAACAGACTTGTAAATAGCCACTTCCTTGGTTGCCTGCAGCAAGAAAAACAATCACCTCTGGAGAAGGTTATAACCTCTGCTACTTGCACCACCAGGGAAGACAGTCGGTTTGATGGGAAAGTGTTTGCAGGGCTCTGGGTCTAAGTCATAATTATCTCAGAAGAGACTAGGGGAAACCCCTTCTAAGATATGATGTCGTCATTGGTAGAAGACCTTGGGACTCCCTCTTAGAAGGTTTTCCAAGGTGCAGGGAGGACAAGCTAGGAGAAGTTCCGAAAAAGAGAGAGATCTTGGAGTATGTGAGAACAAACAGTTTCCAAAGCAGCAACTGTGATGTTAGTCTATTGCTGCTTCAAGAACAACAGTGAGTGTTGTGACATTTTAATAAAACAAAACATGTGAATTAATATTATTTCCCAGATATAGGGAAGAAGAACATAGCTGAGTTTGTTGCTCATTCAAACGATCATTGCAAATACAATGTATAACAAAGTAGAGGACCATAAAATATACATTTTACAAACATAGAATCAAAGTATGGTGGATAGGCAATAATGATATGGCATATACCATATAAGACTTTTCCTATCAGATCAGCCCCATTACCTTCATATACCGAAATCTTTATAGCACTTCACTCTGATAAAATTAAAAACTTTTGCTCTTCATCTAGCAGCTTTAGCAGCAAATACCACAACCCTCTGTATCACATATGGGTTGGATGATTGTAATAAATAATTCAATGTCTTTGGTTCCCTGTATTTCAGTTTCTTCAAAAGAGAATCTAAATATCCTTCTCTTATATCTCTCTATATATGACACTTAAGTATGTAATGATCAAGTCCTCAAGGGTTGGTTTTCCACAAATACACAGTCTATAATATAGACTCTATATTCTACTGAGATGCCTTGAAATTTCCCCCATTTCATCCTAATAGCCATTTCTAAGTGTGTGAATGCCTTCTGTTATTCCATTTTCATAAAAATTGGCAAATATTTCATGTTGACACTGTTTTTTTAAGCTAGGTAACTACTTTGATGTTTTTGATGATGGAAGCACAGTTGTAGCAGTTTGCACTCCTATCTCAAATACCCTTTGTTTAAAGATGTGACTGCTAGATTTTAACACCGGATTTAGCAGGTAGTCAGAAAATCCGCCATTCGGGAGAAGTTCAAATAATTTTTGCAATCAACATTTGTTGCGCATCTTAGTCAAGGTGGCATATTTTACTCTTTGACCGAGTTCATTTCATTTTTGTTGTCCAATACCAATAGTTCCCAATAATTCATACAGTTAAAAAACACAAATTCAGATAATAAGACACCACATAAAATTTCAATATACGAACTAAGTATAACGCAGCTCTTGCTTTAGCCACAGAGGCTGGAGGTTCTGTTCTGCAATGGGCGAACCATGTGTAAAAGGTGAGC